CCACTCATCATACACCACTCATCATACACCACTCATCATACACCACTGACCATACACCACTCATCATACACCACTCATCATACACCAATCATCATACACCACTGACCATACACCACTCATCATACACCACTCATCATACAACACTCATCATCCAGTTAGCTCTAGTTTCAATAGCTCTAGCACCAGGTAGCTCTAGTTTCAATAGCTCTAGCTCCAGTTTACGTGGCAGGCGCAGCACTTTGTGAACCTCCATGTGCAGATTTCGTGGCAAGCGCAGCACTTTGTGAACCTCCATGTGCAGATTTCGTGGCAGGCACAGCACTTTGTGAACCTCCATGTGCAGAGTTCGTGGCAGGCACAGAACCTCCATGCTTCTCCGAACCTCGACGGGGAAGCTCCGCGGAACGACGGTTGCGAGACGGTCGCGGGTCATTCTCGGAATCGTCCTTCCATCACGATTAGAGGTTTCAGTTGTTTCTTGAAGTGCAGATTTCGTGGCAAGCGCAGCACTTTGTTAATTGTGAACCTCCCTGTGCAGATTTCGTGGCAGGCGCATTACTTTGTGAACCTCCATGTGCACATTTCGTGGCAGGCGCAGCACTGTGTGAACCTCCATGTGCAGATTTCGTGGCAGGCACAGCACTTTGTGAACCTCCATGTGCAGATTTCGTGGCAGGCACAGCACTTTGTGAACCTCCATGTGCAGATTTCGTGGCAGGCACAGCACTTATTGTGAACCTCGATGTGCAGATTTCGTGGCAGGCGCATTACTTTGTGAACCTCCATGTGCAGATTTCGTAGCAGGCACAGCACTTTGTGAACCTCCATGCTTCTCCAAACCTCGACGGGCAAGCTCCGCGGAACGACGGTTGCGAGACGGTCGCGGGTCATTCTCGGAATCGTCCCTCCATTACGATTAGAGTTTCAGTTGTTTCTTGAAGTGCAGATTTCGTGGCAGGCGCAGCACTTTGTGAACCTCCCTGTGCAGATTTCGTGGCAAGCACATTACTTTGTGAACCTCCATGTGCACATTTCGTGGCAGGCACAGCACTTTGTGAACCTCCATGTGCAGATTTCGTGCGTGTGTGAACCTCCATGTGCAGATTTCGTGGCAGGCACAGCACTTTGTGAACCTCCATGTGCAGATTTCGTGGCAGGCGCAGCACTTTGTGAACCTTCATGTGCAGATTTCGTGGCAGGCACAGACTTTGTGAACCTCCATGTGCAGATTTCGTGGCAGGCACAGCACTTTGTGAACCTCCATGTGCAGGTTTCGTGGCAGGCACAGCATCTGCGGAGCTGGAAGATGAGAACTGGCGACTTTGTAGTACAACTTTAGTACGCGGAGCAATCTGGGGAGCTGGAAGCTGAGAACTGGCGACTTTGTAGTGCAACTTTAGTATGCGGAGTATCTGGGGAGCTGGAAGCTGAGAGCTGGCAACTTCGTAGTACAACTTTAGTACGCGGAGTATCTGGGGAGCTGGAAGATGAGAACTGGCGACTTTGTAGTACAACTTTAGTACGCGGAGTATCTGGGGAGCTCGAAGATGAGAACTGGCGACTTTGTAGTACAACTTTAGTACGCGGAGTATATCTGGGGAGCTGGAAGATGATAACTGGCGACTTTGTAGTACAACTTTAGTACGCGGAGTATATCTGGGGAGCTGGAAGATGAGAACTGGCGACTTTGTAGTACAACTTTAGTACGCGGAGCAATCTGGGGAGCTGGAAGCTGAGAACTGGCGACTTTGTAGTACAACTTTAGTACGCGGAGTATCTGTGGAGCTGGAAGCTGAGAACTGGCGACTTTGTAGTACAACTCTAGTACGCGGAGCAAGCCTTCAGCTGGAAGCTGAGAACTGGCGACTTTGTAGTACAACTTTAGTACGCGGCTGAGTCATCTCTATTCTGTATTTTGCAAAATTCTTGCATGAACAACGTTTTTTTCCGAGACAGTTGACGGTGGTTGCTTCGCTTTCGCTCCAGCGGTCGGTTCCAACTTGTTTTGTCAAAGAACATCGCAGCTCGGCGAATCAGCCTGCCACATGCCCATTTCCTATAGGTTTATTCTTTTGGAAACTTCCGCCGCCGGCTTGCCCGGGAACTTCTTGTAGTGCCATCCGTCTTTAAAAAAGTCCTATTTAATTTATAAACCCTTGATCCGGCTATCATGTAGACTCTTGATTCATCAGCCCCCCTCATTTGGATTCTGAGAGATAGGTGTTGAGGTGAAACAGGTCCACTACAGCCACACGAGTTAGAGTTCTCTGAGCCCAAGCAGTCAGCGCGTTCTCAGCGCCTGCTTGATAAGGAATCGAAAACTATCAATTCGCGCAACGAGGCTATTTTCGCAGCAGCAAAAACAAGAGCCTCGCAAGCTGTCGCGCTCACCAGCCCCTCGCACCTGTGACGTTCTAATTTCGACAGCTCCGCAGCTTGCAGGTCTTGGCAGATGTCCGCCAATTTGGTCCGCACATTGGCCATTTCTTCTTCCACCTTGGCTTCCTCCGTTTCCTTCATTCCGAGCAGTGCTTCCGCCAAACGCGATGCTTTGGCCTGACCAATCGTTTCCGCTATTTTGTTCGCTGGCTCTCTTGCAACTCCGAGATTTGATCCAAATCCAGATTTCCAATCGCTTCCGCCACTGCTTCCGTCGTGTCCAGAGAGCTTCCTTGTTCACTGGTTCTTTTGCATTGTCTAGAAGGTATGCCATCATCTTCGCAGTCACTTCCTGCTTCACACCCATTCCCAGTGCTTTCTGAGATATCTGTGACATCAAAGCAGTCACTTCTGAAGCTTGAGCCCTTGCCTTCAGTATCAACGCTTCCATCCTGTCCAAGCTTGCCGCGTTCTTCGCTAACTCTTTTTCTTGTTCTGGAACTGCAGGATCTTGTGGCATTTCTGACAATAAATCCGCCTCCACTAGCTTCTGCTCCACAGCAGCTGCCAGTTCCTGGCGATTCATAGCCGTAGAATCCGCAGCAGGAATTCCCAGCTCTTTTGCCAGCGACCTCAATCCTTCCGAAGTTGTTTCCGACGTCATTTCCGCACTGCCAACACCTGTGGTGGACTCCCAGGCCTGGCTTATTGACTGCGCTCTGGTCACGACTTGAAGCACCCACAGAATCGCGCGGCAACTTGTCGGCACTTGTTGCACCACCCATTCCGCCAGTGGGGGGCACCTGCGTCTTCTCGAGTATCTGTGTCAGAAGCTGGTTCTGCAGGCCAGATGCTCAAAGGTGTTCCACGCCTTGAGTAAGCATAGGGCCTTTCCCCTCTTTTGTAATGGAAGGTGCCAGCTTCTCCGCCACCAGACGGTCTTCGAGTTCGCTGCGTTGGACGGCCGTTTCCAAAGGCAGCTGAGGCTTCTTGACTGGCTCCCAGAACCGCCCCACATTGTGGGCCCAGCCAAAAACTTGATCAGCCCACCCTGGTCGAGTGACATTCTGCATGAGCCGATCGGTCTGCCTCGCTGCTGCTCCATGTTCAGCAGAAACGGATCCTCGTTTGTGCATCCACAAACTCGAGACTGCAGCCAGCTTAGGGCATCACGGGCCCTTCAAACATGCTTTTGTTTATTGCACTCTGCTGCCAAATGCAGGCACCGATTTGCAGCGTCGTTTCTCAAGATCCACCTGCCAAAACAAAAATCCACACACAAAAGATCGCGACCGAGATAATAGTCCTCCAAGCGTCGTCCACGAACTTGAATCAAGGATTCAAGCCAGCAGGAGGAGGATCATCTCGCACATGAACTCAGTGGACAGGGCTTTGCAGGGACCAGGCCTTGGGATTTTGGTTGCTCGGGCAATGATGTTGAGGAGGGCAGACACGAAAGCTGCCTTGTCTGTTGGACAGGATGCAGCAAATATGCAGCGACTTCGTCAAGATCTTGCCGCGGTTTGCCCGTGGTACTCGTACAAGTGTTGTGTAATTGCCTCTTTGTTTGGCAGGTAGATCGTGCACATCATCGCGAACTGCTCCAGCACTGGGTAGTTTTCCTTGGCTTTTGTGGAAACAGAGGAAATCGCATCGTCCGAAGGTACTGGAAACCCAAGCCCAGCTTCCAAACAGGTTTTCGACCAATGCACAAAAATCGTCATTCATTGCCGAAGTATCTGGAATGATGCTCAAGTCTTTCAACTCTTCAACAGTCAAAGCTGTACTGTAAGTCATGCTCTGGCAAAGAGCATCGCAACTGTTGAACAACCAAATGATCGAATCCAAAGCTGTGGATCCCCGCACTTGCGTCGCTACGTGATCAGCTTCCTGAGAAAGCATCCAACGGCCGGCCTCTTAGCCATCCCATCCCTGGCTTCATTTGTGAAAGGGGTTGGCCCCAGACCAGCATCCAAAGGCTCATCCACTGCAGCCGCTTCCAAACTAGCTGCTTGTGCAAGATCAGCTTCCAACTGTTCGGCATCTTCTCCCATGGATTCTGAAAACCTCCTTTTGTTTCACTCCCAAGGGGTTTTAATATCATCAACTGTATAAATCCATAAATCAATCAATTTCTACAACCGCCCTCAATTGGGATGCCCAAAAACCACAGCCCTGGAAGTGTAATTGTTGTTATAAAGAATGTTCGAATCCCCCCTCCATCGGCCGAGAAAACGGTCGATCCAGTCATCCCAGTGTCCACCAGTTCACTCCTCCCAACCCACCATTCAGATCCCATCCTTCCAAGACTTCGCTCTCGCTCATCTCCTCAGAACCGACGCACGCGGCGATAGCGCTATAGGCGACTTCGCGCGTGACGAACGGATGAGCACGACTTCCGCGGAGAGACCGGCGGCAAGATCGGGAGGGTCGCGGAAGTCATCAACACACAGCACCCGGGCGATCATGAATGAATGGAATCATAGGACTCCCATGTCCACTCCATGGGACTGCCAGTCCGGACTGCCGATCCAGCCAGACCCCCAGTCCACAACCACCCCTGGCCGTTTCGCAGTCCGGACGTCCCAGTCGACAGGTCGTGTCTAGGACTGAAGATTGATGGGTCCCTCGATTCGGTTCTCATATGGGACATGGAGGGGTCATGCATGGTCTTTGGGTTTAGGGTCGTTTGAGAGTTGGTGGATCCATGGATACGCCCTTGCAAAACTAACATAGACTCCCTGAATGAATCATGGTTGCGTATGGTTTGCGTGGAGTTCGCCACCTGTTCCACCTGTTTGGCAGGTCAAAGTTCTATGGTTTTCCAACGGCCTGACAGTCAGTTCCACGGACTCCATGATTCGCGATTCACATGAGTCACATGAGAGTCCCTGATTCTCTTTGTAGGGCGGCCTCTGCAAACTGGAGCTCTTTTTTCAGGACACTTCCCTGGCAACCATCGAGACATCTGACTCCGTCTTCCATGTCGCTCCGGGTCTTCCATGGCCAAGCTCTGTCCGTCATGTCCCCACCGTCTGTCCGCTCCTCTTGGGGTCTCCCCCAATCACCCGTCCCGTCTGCGGCTCTGCTGTCGTCTTTAGGACTCATCCGGGTCGTCCGTAACGAGACGGGACTGGCGTAACACCGCCCCATTGGGGTGCCGGCGTCAACTGATCGGCATAGATGACAGACATCGGCCGTGTCTGGGTTATATAGACCATTCATGTTTTCCCGTCAACGAGCTCGCAACTACCGATCTCCGTTTCGGTGAAGATGGTTGGATATGGGCCAGGAGCCATGGGGTAAATGCCCAACAATCATGGCAGACCTCCGCGTGGTACCCGTAGTTCTTTTTGTAAGCATCTTCCAGCGTTTGGTCATGTGTGACTTGATGCAAACAAAAACGCCACCAACCACCGACACAAAATAAGTCAGGTTGTGTCCTCTGCACCGAGCACTGGGAAGTACTATAGCTGGTGATCTGGCCAACAAAAGGTTTCGCGGCAGCTTTGGAAGAGTCTATCAACAAAGCTGGGTGTGGCTGAGGGACGGACGAGGAAGTTCTCAAGGGATCTCCAAAAGGATCCAAAAGGGTTCTTGGTCAACGATTTGATTCCCCAAATCTGAAAGCTTCCGAACTTCCTTTCTCCACGTGCAAGTGCTCGTCTTCGATACCACGTGCCAGGGGTGCCCCGTGCCGCGGTGTTGAGATGCTGTTCGAAACATGCGGAACTGGAAGATTTGCCGAATGTAGACTCTTGAGGTACATAAACCAACATAAACCCACCCCAACGATGGATTGAACCTCGGGGAGATACTCTTCAAGAGTCTTAAGATTAAATTTACCTTGACACCATGCCACCTCCTACAACCCCAACCCTGGTGGGGAGTGGCAGGAGTCATCTGCCCAAGCAGGTCGTGCCTTCCCCAAGTGATTGTTCTCCACAGGATCCGATCAAACCATCGAACATCATCGAACCATGCAAAAAACTTCGCTGAGGGGTTCTCAGAACCCCTTTTGGAGCTCTTTATTCATCCCAAACCGGGCACGGTTTCTGCTCGGGTCGGCTCACACTGCTCCAAGTCACACTGCTGTTGTCCAGGAAGCCGGGCAAACACGGCACCTGCAGGCATCGCCCCCGGACATCGATGGAGAAGGATAGCCGGTCGTACAGGTCGCATGCAGCCGAACCAGCGTCGGAGTGCCAAACGGCCCTCGCTGCTGACCCACATGAAGACTAATCCAAACGGCCCTGGGGCAAGATAACTCATCCACTGCTGGTCGAAAAAAACCCAAGCACCGGTGTTTTGACACATGACATTGTGCACCCCAAGACGACGACCCTCTTGGGGTGCAAGAGGGGGCCACATCCACACGCTACATGTCCAAATACCCAAAGCGCAGCGATGTTGTCGCATTGTGAATTCATGTGAATTCCATCCCAGACACTCCCAGTCTAGGACTGGCATAGTAAAACCGCCCCACTGGGGTGGTGCCATGCCAGGGTCAACTGATGGGCGTGTATGACAGACATGGAGTGTCTGGGCATGTTACACACGTCTTGCGATCCCTTCGTCTGTCAACAAAGCCCCCGGGCATCCCCGGGCCTTTCCCTTCGAATGGCTCATTCAATGCGGGGCCGACGGGGTGGATTCGTAGACGCGCTGGATTCAGCGATGGATGTTTCTACCAAGATCCTTGCTAGATGTGTTCCCCATCTTCTTAAGCGACAAAAAAGATGACTTGTCAGGCCTGACATATCAGGCCTTTTGCCTACGATCAACAGCCTGTGAACCGTGTGGTGAAACACCCCGGCCTTGCAATTCTGACCACCCCAAACATTGGCGCAAGCAGTGTAGTTGAGACCACACAGCTGGTCCTGGCAACGACACGAAGCTGGCCACCCACTGCGCGTTACGTCCGCGACGTCCCTGGTGGGTCGATCGTGACGTCCGACGGATCCGGAGCAGCACCCGACTCAACGCTGAAGGTCGTTCTGACCGTCGCAAGACTTCAGTCGAACCGTCGTTCTGGTGGTGACGGGTGCCGTGGTCTGTGTCCGATCTGCTGTTCAGGTCCACGGTTTGTGCAGTGATGGCCGAAACCGATCGGCCGAGGCCGAGGCCATCCCCGCATGATGCAATGGTGCCAAAGCACGACCATGCTAGAACACCATCAAAGAGGAAGTACTTTCGGACCCATTTTGGGTGGCAAAGGTCAATTCCCTACCCTTCCTCAAAACTCCGATTTCTCTCCCACTCTCTTTCGCGTCTACTCTCCTCCAGGGCGGGGAGAGCGCAAGGCACCAAGCGGTCACACCCGCTGAGCACCAGGATCGGAGAGCACAAACGCGCCAAAAAACAATCCCACTGCGCCTGGGAGTCTTTCTCGATCGATCTCCGATCGGAGCGAGATCGAAGGACGAGGATCGTCGTTCATGGGACGTGGGGCACCGTTTGACGTGGGCCACAAATAAGAGTTTTAGGATGTTTTAGGCATCGGCGGAGTGAAGGGAGTGAAGGGAGAAGTGAAAGGTTAGTTTAAGGTTCATCTTTCTAAGGAAGATGTTCAAAGTGGTGGTTTCCAGTTGAAAAAGAATCATGGTGTCGTTGGCCTAACAAGAAGATACTGCTTTTAAAGCAGTTTGTTGAGGCATCAAGAGTGGTGTTTGTCTTATGGGGTTGTCACCGCGAAAACAAGCTACTCAATATACTTTTTGTTGGTAGCTTACCAACTGGTTGGCACCAAGTCCCGCTATGGAGCTGCTGGACATTGCTGAACTAAAGGGTCCAAGATTGTTTTTTTCTGGACGATCTGAATCGCCAAGGGCTCTTCCGCCATCTTCGCAGGCACTGGGAGGCCCGTTGATCAAAAACAACCCTGAAGCAAGAGCTAGTCTGACCATGTGCTCGATGTGTTTTTCATGTTTTTGTAGCTCTTGGAAGCTGTGAACATTCAGTGATTTCCACCATTTTGTACAAACCATTTGCTCCGCAGCTTCTGATCCCTTTCCCTCACGCCTGTTCATCCAAGCCTCGCTTATGTTCATCCTTTCCATCAAAGCTGGGTTCTCGAAACACAAAAAGATACCACTTCCACTTGCCCCACGACTGCCCCAGACCTCACCAATATAGCCCTCCGCGCATTCAAAGCTGGTCTCGTTGACCTGCCGGAACCACAGGCCGTGGCCAGCTGGGAGTGATTCAGTGATTCCAATCTGTGGCCTGCGTAGAGCCGATTGGATGCATTTGGTCCCACCCTTTGTGGTGCCCCACGGAGGTCAGCTATTTTTTCAAGACCATCTTTCCTTTTGGGTTATTGAAGCAAAGATGAGCATGGAATTCAGCAACAAACTCCCGATGCTGGACATCGAGCCTTGAAGAAAAATGAGAACCAAACTTTGCACAACTTGGATTTGACTGGAGCCGAGGTCTAAACTAATCCCCCTAAGAAAGGTTTTGCAGGTGATCTACTGACTGGCTAGGTCCGGCTCCGTTTGCGGATGCTGTTGGCGCTGTTAGTACAGTACTAGCCATCTCTAGAATTCGTGGTGGTCAGTGTCACCAGCCCACATGCACCAGGAGGAAAATGTGCTAAAACACACTTTTTGCTTGCTCAGTTGTTGGCTCCAAAAGGATCCAAAAGGGAGAACCCTACCAAAACCCCCTCCAACTGAACCCGCCTCCCAAGTCCCTACTCGGATCTACTCGGACTTTCCAAGGGGTCCATCTCAGACCCTCCATGTACGGAACTGTATTTATTGGGGGTCATCAATTTGCGGCAAAATACCCTTATGGGGCTCCAACCACCTCCGTTTCGAAGATGCTTGGGGTGGGTGCCAGGGGGGTCTAACCACCTGAGGATATGGGCCAGGAGCCCAAACGGGATATGTACCCATTCCAGTCCCACCGACTCCCTCAGCTTAACCAGTGTCCAGGTCTTCTTGTTTGGTGGCGCCCAATTCCCCCAAAAAGGCTAGTTAGCCAGGCGATCCACCGATGTCGAAACCCATGGATTCCAATGGAAGGGTGGTCTAGGAATGCAGAAATGTTCGTGTCTGACACTCCCTGAACATGATTACTATGGATTCCCTTGAAGACTCCACCATTTCAGTCAGCCCAGACACGTCTGTCATAACGTCGACGTCATAGGACTGCCCATCAAGCCAAACCCCGGTGCCACTCCGGCGGTAAAGATGCCGGTCCCAGACTGGTCGTGTCTGAGCGTCCACCCGAGTCCCATCGCCCGTCGCTGCTTGAGGCCTTCACATAGCCATCGGGCAATGGGATGGGTTCCTGGAACTCCGGTTCCCTCCCAACCAAGCTGGGTGGGGAATATAGCTGAGGGTTTTGATAGCTCACGTTGTTACCAGAATTTGGGTTTGAAGGTGGACCTTCACAGGATCAAAGCCAGCGGACGCCAGAAATTTCACGATCAGTCACACCTACGGGATCGCATACTGTATATGTGTTTGTTTGGTAGTGCACTTTTGAACCCGAAGCCCTCACAAGCGGACAAAGTTTCAACTTGCCAACCGTGACACGTCCAAGTGACTTCAAATGTACTGTACACATCATCTCACGTACATGAATTTGGACACAAGGTTGAAAACACGAATTGATATGACACTGACTCTAGAAAAAATATATCGACTCTAAAGTGCGGGTCGGTCGCTTTCTGTGCTAACAACTGAAGAAGGGTGTCTTTTTACTGCGCGTGAATGGGGGTATAAACTCCTTCATAGACCAAAAAACACTACTCACATGTACCTTCTTGCGACCATGTTGCATAGCCCATGTACCGGCTATAGAGGAAACGAAAAAAAAAAGAAACAAAGAGTCAAAGAGGAGGAATCAGAAAAAGAAGGAGGAAGCTGAGGAAGGAAGAGAAAGAGCAGGAAGGAAAAGGACTTGCATGCAAATAACACTCTCCGCATTAACAAACAAAACGGCTTATTGCAACGACATCAAACAAACTCCTCTCGTGGTTTGATAAATGCACTACTACTACTACCACTACTACTACCACTACTACTACTACTACTACTACTACTACTACTACTACTACTACTAC